ATGCAGCTTCTCAAATAAGTGAAGTGGTCAACGCGCTCTACCACTTCATTACTTATTTCTAAGGTAGGAGTGAGTCAATGTAGTCCAGTCCCGTAACTTTGTGCGAACTGGTAATATTTTGCGTTTCTTTTTATTTTCCTCTTTGGCTTTGTTTGCTGAATGGAGTGTGGCGACTTGAACTGCTGTACACCGGTGCAAAGTTCTATGTTGAAACTAGACAGATAGACAGACAGAATTGGTAAGTGATTCTCTGTTTGTACCTCGAAGAGCATAAATTGCACAATGTGAATTAATTTGAGAATTACGAATTTGGTTTAAACTTGCTCGATTTGTATTGATGTATTTTATTTTTTTGATTTGCAGCTTGTACCATTATCCCTGATTGTCATAGAAACTAGTTATTATTATTTTCCTTTCTATTCTAAACAGAAGGATTATCGATGTTTTGTTTCGCCCTAATTTCATTTCTAATCAACTTTTCCTTTTTCTTCTAAAAAACTGAGATCATTTTCATGTGTGTGTTTTAATTTCAAATAGAATTACAACAAAAGTTAAAAAGTCTTAAAAAGCATATTGATTCTATAACAAGACAAATTACAGAATTGAACAATGAACGACAAGAGCTTCAAGCAGAATATGATAAGGTGAAATTTTCTTATTATATGATTACGTAATGCCTTTATTTTGATATGTGTAACCTGATAAATTTATTTGTATGTCTACTAGTAGTTGAGATATACGTGGGAACAAGACAGTAGACGGGATGAATAATACAAGACAGTTTTCTTCTACTCTTATAACAGACGGTTGGAGGCGATTGACAGACAAGTCATCAAATTGTGCTTCGTGTATCTATTGACATTCGCCAATGAATACTATTCACAACCGTGAAGGAATTGGTTCCAATTCACGTTACTCATTTTTGTAGTCACTGATGTTACCATTGATTATGTTTACCTCGCGACTGACGTTTTGTGCGAGTGTCTCTGTCTGTCTGGATTCAACATAGAATTTGGCACCGAAGTGCAGCAGTTAGAGTTGCCACGTTCCAAATAGCACACAGAGGTAGACAAGAAGATGAGTGAAGAGAATTAATAGAGTTTGACAAGTATAAGAGTGAAACGGAATGGGTAATGGTAGAAAGGAATATGAAAGATTACAGAGACTGAATACATCTGCGCCGTTGACAACGGTTTTGAGCCATGTCACCTATTGTCTCCAGCCATTGATTCCTAGAGTCAGTCCCGAGGGCCCCAACCGGGAAGTCTGCATCTGCCTGCCTGACTCAGTTTAGCTGTCAAAGATTTCATGGATTGATGAGGCCATGTTTTTGTTTGGCCACCACTTACTCTTTTCCAACCTGCACCTATATCATCAGCTAGTAATGCCCGTCGGGGGAGGCGATGGTTAGGCATGCGCAGCACTTGACCTAGCCATTTAAATCTATGTAACTTTATAGCCTCGTCGATTGATTTTCCCTCTTTGCCCAACACTCTACGCCTAACGTCAACATTACTTACCTTATTATACCACCACCTAACTTGAGAAAGAGATCGCAGACATCTATGATCGAAAGCAGCCAACCTTTTCATGTCTTCAACTCGCATTGGCCATGTTTCAGAGGCATATAGAAGGACGGAGTGAACTGCTGAGCAGTACACACATCCCTTGGTTGATAACCAGCCGGATGTCAGGCCTACACCAGAGATCGTGTAAGTCAGGGAAAGCAGCTCGAGCTTTTTGGATCCGTGCTGAGATTTCGCCGCCAATCAGTCCATTGGTGCTGATACAACTTCCCAAATAGGTGAAGTGATCAACATGTTCTATCACTTCACTCCCTATCACTAAGCTGGGAGTTGACGTAGTCCAGTCGTGTAGCAGCATCTTACATTTTGTAGGGGCGAATCGCATGCCAAACATATGAAGATTGCTGCTCAAGGTGTTCAGAATACTCTGCTGGATTTTGTCAGCATCCTCCCCTAACAGGACTATGTCATCTGCATATTCTAAGTCCATAAGACTATTTATTCCCTGGTAACAAGTCGATTCCTAAGTTGTTAAGTTCAGTTAAGGATACTTCCATTAGCATATCTATGATGAAGTTAAACAGAAATGGGGAAAGTGGACATCTTTGTAGGACACCACTGGTTGTTACCAATTCAGCTGACAATTCCCCATAAGCCCTTACACGGCTACGTGAGTTTGAATAGAGTGCCTTGATTAGTGTAATGTACTTTCTTGGCACTCCCTTCACAGTCAAACATTGCCATAGTACCTTTCGATCCACGGAGTCGAAGGCTGCCTTCAAGTCAAGAAATATGGCAATTGTTGGACGCCGAAAAGTGTGTCTATGTTCTAGGATCTGTCGGAGAGTGAAGATATAATCTATGCTTGTGCGAGTGTAATGATGAATGTGTTGATTGGCTGTTTGAGCTTCCCTAGTGTAATTTTTTTGGTAATAGTTTCATTCCACACCGAATTTTTGATGCAAGTATGCAATTTTCTGCATTTTGCAGGCCGACTAGTTGATATCAGGTGTGCGTCGGCAGGGGATCGAACCCCGAACCATGTGCATGATCGACGATAGTCTTAACCTCTGTGCCACCGACGCACATGCAATCGACAGGAACCTTTGGACATAACATAACATAACAATTTCGCTTTATTCCAGAAACAGTACTTGTGGTACAGTGTGGAATTTTCAGCACATATCTACAATATTGCATCTAATTTCATCGTACATTTAAAAGGAGTATTATAAAAAAAATAAAAATAAAAATATAAAAAAAACCAAAAAAAGAAACAGAAATAACCAAAAACAAATGCAAATAAAATACTGAGTAAAAAAAGAAGATCAACACAAATAATGAAAAAAAATATTTCAGTATTAGTTAGTGGAAGCTACGATATGTGTATGCGTGGTGAACAGTAACAGCTATAATCATACTGGAAATTATGAGATGTTCTTAAAAAAAAATGTTTATAGCCAAGATGATCAGACCTAGGTTTCGTACTTGTTGTGTGTGTCTGTGGTCCTGAAGGAACTAATGTCCACCCTGGGGGGTCGAACCTGGGTCACTTCATGCTGCAGTCAGAAATGTTACCACCACTGAGTTATTTGGGCTCACGATTAACCTCCAGTAGGAATTTGATATATACTTTGATTGGACACTAGGTACTACCTAATGTGATGTCTAATCGATAGTGTTCACTTCTATCACTTTAATCTATTCTACAGGTAAGAATAAGAGATGGTGCGTCGGTGGCACAGTGGTTAGGATTTTCGCCGACCATGCACATGGAACGAGGTTCGAATCCCCGCCGACGCACGCCTGATATCTATGGTCGGCCTGCAAAATTTGGGCTACCGATATCCATGCTGAAAATTCCATACTTGTACCAAAAATACAGTGTGGAATCAAGCTGTAAATAAAAAAAATGGTAACAAATTGTTTTACCGAGCTTTTCACATGTGTAGTGGAACCACAGAGTGACATCAAGTGTAGAACAAGAAGTGTAAATCAGTTAGAGAACCACTGGAAAACGTGGGAGTGCTGAATGGCTGTTTCGTCATAGTACTCTCAGGTTTCCCAACGGTTCTCTAACTGATGTGAGCTCATGATGAAATCCTTCAACCAATCAAACAAAGTCCCGACAAAACCAATACTTGAAAAGGTAAATTAAATGATGGGTTTGCTAAATGTGGAATGTGATACCTCTGAAATACATGTCGCGTATAGCAAACGGGTTAGTGGAGTAATGGCTCATCCGCTTAGGCACTCAACTTTCAACCAGCGAGTCGAGAATTTATAGCCCTTCTCCACTTACCTAGGTCTAGGCAGTTAGGTAGTTTCATTACACACACACACACACACACATACTCAATAAAGGAGGCTCATCGCTAACTGCATGGAATTGCAAGTAGTTTTTGAGTAGCATTCCATTCCTTCATATGACTATGAGATATTCGTATAACTCAGTCTGAAGAGTTGGTTAGTGTGACTAATTCGAAATGTATCATAAGTCACTGAAATGGCTGTTTGTCAGTGTGCGATCATGTAATAATAAATAAATAAATAAATTTTCAAGTATCTGTTTTGTAGGGATTTTGTTTGATCGGTTGGAGGATTTCATCATGAGCTGACATCAGTTAGAGAAGCATTGAAAAACCAGCTGGGAGTACTGGACTGTTGCGTACTGCTGAAAAGTCCCAAACTAGACTGACGAAACGACTGTCCAGTACTCCCAGCTGGTTTTCCAATTGTTCTCTCACTGTTCTCAGCTTATGATGAAATCCTTCAGCCAATGAAATAAATAAATATCTTTACTCGGTGTTTATACAGTGTTCAGAATTCTCAGCAAAATTTATTGCATGATATTTTCCCCTCACCCAGGATCTTTAAGTAAACTAGCAGTCTATAGTATATATATGTCACGTGACGAAATACTTTTAGATTTCAAGTCTAGACTAATCCCTTATGATATTTCTCCTTCATCTCCGCGACGTGCGCACTGCACTGGTAGTTTGAAAACCAAGTGAAAGTGTGCACTGAGTACATTTTGTGACTAAACGACACAGCTGAAAGGTTAAGACAATAAGAAGTAGAGAAAACTTTGTTAGGTAGCGCTGTGATTCAAGTGAACCGCCAGCTTGTCTTTATTGTTTATCTATACTAAAGTGTATAGTATAGACCATCGATAGTTTGCTTCAAAACTGTTTAGAGTATTTCATTCATAGAAAACTTTTCGAGTACTTCTTATTCTGCTTTCTTCTTTTATAGTTGAAATCCCAACTGCAAACAGTTCGTATTCAAGAGATTTCAAGAGATTGTCAAAGTGCATCGTCTGAGTATGCTTCAACAAAAGCTACACCCAAGATATTCCCTTGGACAGATGAAGTGAATCGTGTGAAGAAAGAAATTTTTGGCATTTCTGAATTTCGTCCTTTACAAATTACAGCTATTAATGCTTTATTAGATGGTCGTGATGTTATCTTAGTCATGCCTACAGGTATACATTTTTCTCATATGCATATATTATATTTGTGAGTAGTTTTTTTAAAGTATTGGTTTACAGGGATCTGATTGATCCAGTTCAGACCCCAAACTGACATTATTTAGAGAATTTTTTGATAACCAGGGGAGTACTGGATAACTGTTTCGCCCTGGTTACGGATTCCTCAGCAGTGCTCATTCATGACCACATCATGATTGGAATCTAAAACCTTCAGGTTACAAGGCGAGTTCGCTAACCACGTGGATGTCAGGATGGACCGAATAATCCGTCAATTCTAGCTTCTTTTGATTCGCGATATACATTGTGACCAGCATCCTATGTATATTGGCGAGTGTTTCTTCTCATCGCATGCAACTTTATTGACCCTGCTGGCCACTTCAGTTAAATTCATCCTGTAATCACTCACTAGTGAGCACTATTTAACATTTGCTTGCCATCAGCCTGTTGTTTTGTTTCGTTTAATCTTAGTTCTTGGAACACATCTGGCTATGAGCTACACTTATTGTGTGAATGCTGGTTATATCACTCAATTGCTCAGGTTGAAGTAGGTAGAGCGGGTTTTGGGCAAAGTTAAATTTTAAACACCGCTAACTACCAATCAAGGATTGACACTGAACTCACCAATCACATGAAGGAGGCGTTTTTGGTTATGGAAAACATATATTTATGAAAAAAATGCATAAAATCTGCATAAAACTGTTACACAGGATACCATCCTCTGACATGTGATAAAAAAGATCTCCTAGTTGAGCGTCGGAGTAGCAACTAGGAAGTTACACCACATTCTATACATGTATTCATCTAAATCATTATAAATTACATAGTTTTGAGATTCGTTAATGGCCCTTATCCTGTTTTTAACCTTTCCCAATAGCCTTCTATAGAACTGATTTGTATCCGTGTAATGGGATCCACCAAATCATTAGAATGGTTCAGTATGTAATGAATCTATCCAAGGGGATCGCAGGTAGTTATAACCTTTCCACTAATCCACGTGTACGACGGCACCTTCTCCTCTTAATAATGATATCTCTTCAGTGCTGGTACCACTGAACTATTTTCTCTGTTTCAGTACCTATACCTGTCACAGGCTGTTTTAAAATCCAGTAACTACAAATATACAAAATCTGGGTTGAGGTCAAGTGGGGCGTGGCAAAATATGTTCCTACGAAATATTAGAGTCATCAGCTTGCCTTCCCTGACATTTAACTCGAATCAAGGGGAGTAAGACCTTCAACTCATGTGAATGAAAGTCATTGGGCCATTCAAGGTCATTCGCCGATTGGTAGTCAGTGGTACCTAAAGTCTAACTTGGTCGGGTTTTGAGCCCCAGGACTCAGTGGATTGGGTTGTTGGGTTCTGTCCTATTTGTCAGTGGTTGACTGAGTGGTCAGCAAGTTTGCCTTATAACCCACAGGTCCTGGATTCGATCCTTGGTGAGGTTGTCGGCGCGCACCGCTGAAGAGTCCCAAGCATGACTGAAACAGCTGTTCACTACTCCCTAATTAGCAATCGTTCTCTCTCTGAAGTAGGTTTTTGATTGACCATTATGTCCTGGTTTTGTTTCCTCCACAATTCATGGACACATTCTACTAAAAGAGTGCTAAACTTATAAGAAACAGCTGTTTAACGCTTCTCGACTTTTCATCTGTGATTGTATATCTAGCGGTATCGTTTCGTCATCTGCAGACCTTACAGTGTTGGCTTTCGCTTTATGTTTGCTTTCTACAACATTTACGTTTTTTTTTAGGTGCTGGAAAAAGTTTAGTCTACCAATTACCGGCACTACTTAATCTCGATGCATTTAAAGTAGACGGACGATGTTTTGGTTCAGTTACACTGGTGATTAGTCCATTAGTCTCTTTAATGGTAGATCAATCGATCAATTTAACAAAATATGGTCTTGAGCCAGATACAATCGCTGTTTTGGATGCAAGTACACCATTACCAGAACAACGTAGAATTCTTTCATTGCTTGCAGAGAAACCGGTCAGTTGGTTTTTTAAAATTATTATTATGTTTTTGAATACTATTCTGATTGATTGATTGATTTGTCCACTGGGTGAGAGGTGGTCTTTCAAGTTGTGTTATGCCATGGGATGTTGCTGCATACCGTTTTGTTCTTACAAGAGGCTGGGATGTGAGTGTGTTCTTTTGCCCTGAAAACCAATGTAAAAAATTACTCAGTCGACTGGTGTAAAAATATATGAAGAGTCGGTAGTTCAGTAGTAGGGGTGCTCGTCAATCACGTAAGTAGCCTGAGTTCGAATCCTAGCAGGCGCTTAATCGACAGTAATCCCGGTAGAGAGTTAAGTTAGAGGATGAGGCTAACAATCCCACTGTGTGTGAAACAAGCACTACCGCTAATGAGACTTCAAAGTTCGAGCTTGATGCCCTATGCTAGCAGGGAATAAACTTGTTGACTTAGTATATGCAGACGATATAGTCCTTCTAGGCGAGGACGCTGACAAAATGCAGAGTCTTCTGAACACCTTGAGCTGCAATCTACGAATGTTTGGAATGCGATTAGCTCCCGCCAAATGCAAGATGCTGTTACAGGAATGGACCACACTGACTCCTAGTTTACAAATAGGGAGTGAAGTGGTAGAGCACGTTGACTGTTTCACTTACTTGGGAAGTACCATCATCCACAACGGGTTGATCTCTGACGAAATCTCCGCACGGATGCAGAGGGCTAATTTCGCATATGGCGTAGACGTGATATCCGGTTGGCTATCGACAAAACGGCGAGTGTACTGCTCATCAGTCCGCTCCGTCATCCTTTATGGCTGTGAGACCTGGTCATTGTGAGTGGAGGACATGAAAATATTAGCTGTCTTTGATCATAGGTGTCTGCGCTCTATCTCTCGTGTGAAGTGGTAGGTGTAATAAGGTGAGCAATATTGAGGTTAGGCGTTGCGTCCTAGGTAGATGGAGGGGAAAATCAATCGACGAGGCTGTGAAATTACATCGACTGAGATGGTTAGGACACGTGTTACGTATGCCTAGTCATCGCCTTCTTCGACAACGGGCAATGTTAGTTGACATAGAGTCAGTCAGTAGTATTTTCCATATTTCGGGAAGATCAACAATGGCCAAAGGAAAAATAATTGTGAAACTAGTAATAATAACATAAATAAGAGAGAATATAAGTCATCTACAGTTATACCATATAAAGAGGGGACATCTGAGACCCTACATAGGATTTTTTAAATAAAGCAGGAATTAGACTGGTGGCATTCAAACCTACAAACTCACTCAGACAGAGACAAGCTCTGTAGGTTAAAAGACCCGGTGGACCCAATTAGACAAAATAATATTATTTACAAAATATCCTGCAATGACTGTGAGTTAGGTCAACTACATAGGTCAAACTAGTAGGTCACGGGTAGTCAGATTGTCGGAACATAAGAATTTAGCTAAGGTAAGAATGGTTGACCCCGAGAAGACAAGTAATTTAGAAAAAAGCTCAGCAATTGCAATGCATGCATCACACACACACAACCACACAATAGGGTGAGAGAGGGTTAAAATTCTAAAAAGTAATCTAGGTAGGTGAAGAGAGAGGTTGATTACTGAATCCTGTCTGGTTCATCGAGTCTACACCAAGCACATGCAATAGGAATGAGTCATCACTCATACCTGAAATATGGAAAATATTACTACCAATCAAATCAGGTGGAAATCAAGTGAAAAATAATGGAACTATATAAATGAAGTTCGGAAGTCGTGTGAGTAGGTGCTTTGATATGATTATGAGCAATAAATTGTGCTCGAAACTTTGTCATCAGTAAACATTACTGTATAACACTGTGAGACTTTATCAAAACAAAATTTACCCATAATGGTATAAGTAGGTGTGATAATATTCAGAAACAGGCGCACACACACATATCCAAATGAACACTAAACAACTGGATCAACTCTGCCCATTCATTCATTTAAAAGAAATAACAGATTTTACTTTTGATTACAAAAATAGTTTAATCTGTTCTCTTAGTATTACAAAAGGCAGTAAGGAAATAATAATAATAACCCAAAGAAGTTTTGGGTACTATAACAGGGTTGATTGACTGATTAATCGATTGATTGACTGATGAAGAATAATCCTGTAAAACAAATAATAAAACAATGTTAACATAGATTTACAAATAATCATGTGATAAGAATGCTTCTTAAATTTGTGTTATACTTGAGATAAATCAAAAAAGGTCGACTTCGTCATGTACTGATGTCAGATAAGGAGGTACTGATGCTAGGCAAGGAGGGGAAATCAATCGACGAGGCTGTGAAATTACATCAGATGAGATGGTTAGGACATGTGTTACGTATGCCTAGTCATCGCCTTCCTCGACAACGGGCAATGTTAGTTGACATAGGGTCAGTCAGGCTGGAAAAGAGCTAGCACGTGCTGGTCAAACCAAAACATGGCTTCACCAGTCAACGAAATCCACAACAGTTAGTTTAAGCCAGCCACGTAGGAAGGTGTAGACTTCCTGACTGGTTGGGGTCGTCGGGAAGGTAAAATACCAATGAAGGATGAAGACAATTGGTGATATGGCTTAAAATCGTTCTCAATGACTGGCCTGTGCGGATGCATCCACTCCTTGTGACTGATGATTTCCAATGAAACTCTATTGTTCTTCGTTATTCCTATTCCTTTGTCTCACATCTCTGTTTACTATCTGTATTATGCATTTCTTCTACTTTCTTCTCTTGCTTTCTGTGCTACATGGAGGGGTTGTGGCGACTCGAACTGTCGCACATCAGTGCAAAGTTCTATGTCGAAAATAGACAGACAGACAAACAGATGCCCTATTCTGTACTGCGAGCACATAGGAATCAAAACATATTACCGTCATTCTTGTTTTGCTTTTCTTCTACTTTGTTGATGTGATACATAGGCTGGAGAAGTCAACGTTCCATCAACAGGTGGTTCAGCGTTCGAATCTTGCTGCCTCTACTTTATTTTTGGCGAATGGATGGAGTACGATGAGCCCTCAAACAGAATAAGTCTAATAGATAACTCGTTACACCGGATAACGGTGTTCATTTAACCAGTGACCTACTGTTTTTTTACACTAGTACATTATATATTGTTCTATGGAACTTAGCAAAACCGTTGGTTATAATCTCGATCAATGACTTCCTACCTCGATCTTGTTACCCAGGGATTAGACTGCTGGCTCGAATCGTCACATGATGAAAGTTTTCACTTAAGTTGTTGTTTCTTTTCCCTGATCAATTAAAAGTGCTCCTTAGTTTTATAGGATTTTAGATGATGGCGAATTAGTTACAAGATTTCTTCATGAGCTGATATCAATTAGAGAGAGAACCACTGGAAAACCTGGGAGTACTACACATCTGTTACGTCCTAGTTCGGGACGTCCTAGTGACCACTCAACACCCTACTATGTCAGGTTGCATTGCTTGTCAAGGGAAGGCAGTGGTTCGGCATGCGCTTTACGTGTCCCAGCCACATCTATCGACTTACGTACCCTCCTCATCTAATACTCTACACCTAACGTCAATATCGTTCACCCCTTCACACGGTAGATAGAACGCAAACATCTGTCGTCGAAGACATCTAGCATTTTTATATCTTTCGCTTTCAGTGAACATCTCTTACAGCCATAAATAAGGACAGTACACATGTAATATGGATAGTACATGTGTAGCCTAAGTGGTTAAATGGTCGGCTCATTGGCCTCGTAACTTAAAGGTTCGAGTTTCAACCCTTGGTTGTGCAACGTTGAAGAGTCCCAAACTATCAGTAAACATCACTTTTGGTTGTTTTGTGAACTTTAACAGACAACCTGTATTAGTCTCTACACTGCTCAGGAATTTCAAACTAGAATGTAAGAAATATTAAACTTTCTGTGGTTTCGAATATTCTTTTGTCTGTTGACTGCTTTGATATACAATCGATGTTTAATGTTTTTATCCTTAATTCTTGCTTATTTTAATGTTGTTGTTGTTTTTTTTTTAATTTCAAGATACGTATATTTTCTTATGAATTTGAATGAATCGATGGTTAGTTTCTAAACCTATTGCCGCTTTCTTCTCATTTGTCTTTGCTTTTTAGACCAATAAAAAAGAGATCTCGTCTACGTCTACTCTATGTAACACCAGAGAAATTGGCTAAAAGTAAATTGTTGTTGAATCGTTTAGAGTTGGCTTATACCACTCATCGACTGGCGTGTATTGCTATCGATGAAGTTCATTGTGCTAGTCAATGGGGTCATGATTTTCGACCAGATTATAAATTTCTACATGTTCTGCGTCGACAATTTCCCAGTGTACCAATTATCGGGTTGACAGCGACAGCATCAGCTCAAGTTATTGTAGATGTGCAGAATATGCTGGGTATTAATATTGATAAGTGCTTAGTCCTCAGAACTAGTTATAATCGAGAAAATCTGAATTATTACGTAAGTCATTCAGAAAATTTTTTTATTGTGTATTTAAAAACTACATATAGTCGTCTCTTTCAAGTCTGACGATGGACTGATATTAGCTGGAGAACCATTGGAAACCAGGGAATTACTGGGTAGCTGTTTCGTCCTAGTCCATGACTCATTGACAGTATGCTCCCACTAGGCTTCGAACCCAGGACCTTCCGGTTACAAGGCAACTTAGTGGTCTACGAGCTAACTCGCCTTGTAACCAGAAGGTCCTGGCTTCGTACCCTGGCGGTGGGTGCTTACTACTGAAGAGTCCCAAACTAGACTGACGAAACAGCTGTACAGTACTCCCTGCAGGTGTTTTCCAATGGTTCTATAACTGATGTCAACTCATGATGAAATCCTCCAACATTTTGATTCATTTCGACGCCTTCGATTATTCTTATGACTCCTAGGAGAGACGGTATATTACTATCTGTTATTATCGACTGTCAAAATAAGAGTTAAGAGTAACAGTGTGTCCCGTGTTCGAGTCTCACTCCGTCTACTCCATTCCAGAGGAACTAGGTTGTATCATCCTCCTCCACATAATAAGTGTCGCTCATAACTTAGTACATTGAAAAATCTGTTCCTACTAATGGAATCCAAACTAGCTAAATAATATATGTATTGGGCGAAGTCCAACTTTGGACATACCCAAGAGGTGTGGCTGCATCTATCGTCTTGGAGTGAACCGTTGAGCTAAACAACAATGTTGGGCCTCTTACTCAATTCTTTGCCTTTAATATCATCACACTGCCATGCTCTGAATTAGTGTTTCAAAGCCATTGTTATCTTTGAACCAAAGAGAGCCAGGGTGAATGCGATCTAGAGTACACAGATTTATGATCCAGTCAACAGGAGTCATTCCAGGAAGTGGTGATTGTGTTGCAAGATATCAAGAGGATGCCTTTGACTGGAAGGCATAGGTTGTTATCGATGAGCGAGACTGTGCTGTGGGTATTCCTGTGATGTGCTGGCCTTTCCAAATGGCATGGATCCTTGACCTGTGTCCTGCACGTATGGAACTCTTCTGAAATTGTGTGAGTCATCCTCCAGTGTTCGGTGATGAATATTGTGGCTAGGAATTTTGGGGAATTATTTACCGCTGCACCCCTCTCCAAGTAGTAATAATTAATAATAATACTTTAATTTATATTTCTTATAAACAGGTTGGTTTACAAGAAATGCATCCCATTTTTACAGGCACGATAAGAAATGTTTTAAATTACAATCCTGGATTATCATATAATAATGTCACTATCAAAGTTGAGTGACAACCCAAACTTCGTTCTGTTTGCTGCTGATAATTATGGCAACCAGTGGGCAGCTTATAACTGGGTGAGTGCTATGCTGCCACGTTATTCAATGCTATTTCAAGAAGAGAAGAAAATTCTGCCCAGCTGCAAAATGGTGTACAATGCGATTATAAATAATACATTATTGGAGGTATATTTACAAGATCAATACAAGAAGAAGCTTATTAGTTCTTGAAATGATAGCATACATTTGCAATGTGTAACGCCAACCATAGTGGTCTAAGCATGGAAACTATGATGTTTTCCATGAAGATTTAGCTTTGTTCAAACATTGGTGCTGTTGTGTTCTTAGACAAGGCAACCAGACTTTGGGCAAGCAATATGAACAAAGAGTAAATTTAGCTTTATTAATGGCCCAGGTAGTTAACACAAGGTAGAGTATAATAGTGGGTAAATAAAAACATTATCGGAGGCGATTTCAACTTGTCAGAAGTATCATGGTCTTCACTCCGAGGACCCCAAAGGTATGATAATCTCATAAATTCCATCATCACAGGAGGCTGGACACAACACATAAATTCACCCACTAGATCCGCAAATATCCTAGACCTTATTTTCACGAACAACATAACGCCATCTACAGTACATGTGGGACAGGAATTTCCAGGTAGTGACCATAGAATAGTAGTTTGTTCTTTTGACATCTTTCCTGAAACAAAACGCAGAGATGAAGCTGGCCAGATACATATGAGATTGTACACACATGCTGACTGGGACTTGTATCAGCACCTAATTAGATGTTCTAATTGGGACTCGTACTTTTCGAACCAGTCCTTAGATGCAATTCTTAACAACTTCTATCAGAATATTAACTCAATTCACGACGTCATTGCACCCGAGAAGATTCTTAACTTCAGATTCCCCCAAAGTGATTATATTCCGACATCGTTTAGAAGAAGTCTACGAAAGCACTCAATAAAATACTACAGATATCATGACTTATCGTCATTAATTGCCATTACGTCCCTTCTCAGTAGAATTGAAGACTTGAGAAATATAGGCCTCAGAAACAAAGAAATGCAGGCCATTCATGCACCGCATAACTCATGAGAAATAGCCAAACCTTTTAAAAGTAGGTTGACGAACTCCAAAACACCCTATCCGAAAATGATATACTTAGACGGCATTGCTTACGAAAATAATGAGCCGATATGTGAACTGTTTAGCAAGCACTTCGCCAGATTATACACCTTAGAGAACGATGAGGTCGTGGATTTCCTATTCTCTGTAGGGTACGGTTGTGCACCAAATAGACAAAAAAGCATGAAATAAAAACAACTGGCTTGAAAATAATTGTATTAAAGCCAAAAGTGGACATCATGTTAGTATAAAATATATTGGTTTTATTATACATTGCAAATGAACGTTGTCGGCCTAAGGATTAATTACTTCCCCATTCTGTTTTCTATATAAATGTGTTTATTAATGATATATTTCACTCACTTAATCTACTACACTTTAATGTTTCACCTTAGCACTTTAACTTTTCTAAAACAGCTTTCAATCCCTTGTAAACGTCGTACTTACCTCAATATTGGTTGGTTATCGTATGCCTACAACCACGGGATGAAAACGAAACGAAGTCGATTTTCCCGCTCAACCTGGAGGACAACTGTACAATTCAATAACTATCCGGCCTGGTTCAGACAATGAGTGTATTCATATATATATCAAATATTTAACTGTTGAAACATTATTAACTTGTAGACAATCTACGATTTGACATTATACCATACTTGATCGTGCCTGTAAAAATGGTATGCATTTTCATGTAAATTTATGTTTATATGAAAATAAAATTATTATTATTATTGTGAGGTAGGTAAGTGATGTTTAGATGAGGGGCGAATTCAAAGATCTGGCCTGTAAGATGTCCCACGAATTACTGTAGGGCTCATGGGGTAGCATCTTGACAAGAAGCTGAATAGGTTTGTAAGTGGTAGGGGGAAAAGCACTTTTTTATTTATAATTTAGATGTGTGCAAACCTTAACATTTTTTGTTCTGAGGATCCGAACTAATCTTTAATTATCACCTAGTAGAAATGAAAAAGGGAGTTGATCAATCCGTAGACATTATTTCAATTTTTAAACACTGTAATTGAATATACTCTCTGCCTGCGATACAACAGGGGCAGAGATTTAAACTGTTTAGTCTTCGTAGGAGCTGATGCCAGCGTGTCTGATCAGTATGGTTTCACATTTCGCTACATTGATTGGGAGCACCCATTCTCTAGACCACTTTGTTGAGGTCTCGTTGAAACGTACCACTGTGAACCTTCAGCTTCCTCTGGATTTCTAAGTCATCAACGTATAGGAAAACGGTGAGAAGGTATTACTTTCTGATATATAATAATAATAATGTATATTCTCATATAAACATATAAATTTACATGAAAATGCATGCCATTTTTACAGGCACGATCAAGTAGGATATAATATCAAATCGTAGATTGTCTACAAGTTAATAATGTTTCAACAGTTAAATATTTGATATATATATATAAATACACTCATTGTCTGAACCAGGCCGGATAGTTATTGAATTGTACAATTGTCCTCCAGGTTGAGCGGGAAAATCGACTTCGTTTCGTTTTCATCCCGTGGTTGTCGGCACACGATAACCAACCAATATTGAGGTAAGTACGACGTTTACAAGGGATTGAAAGCTGTTTTAGAAAAGTAAAAGTGCTGAGGTGAATCATTAAATTGTAATGAAATAGGTAAGCGCAAGTCTCATTAATAAATGCATTAATAAAGCAAACTCCCTAGGCTGACAACGTTCATTTGCAATGTATAATGCTACACGTATATCTCGTACTATCATGATGTCCACTTTTGGTTTTAATACATTTATCCTCAGTTGTGCTAGTTGTTTTTGTTTTATACCTTTTTGTGCATTTAGTGCACAACCGTACCCTCCAGAAAATAGGAATAGAATAAGTCGAATCAAATTCATAAGAAGCTATAAAATGTTAGGTTTAATGGGATATAATGAGGATCAAGCAAAGACGTTATTGGAAAATGAATGAGATAAGACATTGTGAAGTGGTATTTAAAGATCCGACAATGGACAGCAAGTTAGTTTATAAGATGCCCCATAAATCTGTGCAGATCCCACATGGTCGCGTCTCAACAATAGGCTGAGCGAATGGTATATATTTAAAGGTAGAAGCATGATCTGTCAAGGCGTTCATTATTATCTTTTTCAAGATAAAGATCTAAGCCCTCATAAAAATCAGAAATATCTCGAGCCTTCAAATTGCATATTGCTGTTCCTGCAGAATGGGGTGATTCACCTTAGTGACCACCACCATATCTACTGATCAGCTAACGCCACCCTCCCTCCTTTTTTGATGTTAGGCTCTGAGACTATGATTATTATGGCTACCGCAAATATATTGCTTGGTACCAGACATGTTCGTACCCCATATTCCATCTCCCTAGCTTTCTTAATGAGTGCTTCCAATAGGTCTCCACGTACATCTTTATGAACATATTATATATGTATGCATGCATCCTAATGAACAGATTACTTTATAAGAAGTCAAAAACTTAAAGAGTAAAACGAATAGGTATTGTGAATAGTGGAACAAGATTTAGCAGAACAATATAGTTAGGGATAATATAGGTAGTATGAACTGAAGTTAAGACCGGTTGGCGGGACTTAGTGTACTAAATTATCATGACAGTCTTATATATAGTCTACATTTGACATTGCAAAGTAACCTGTCTACATATATTATAAAAAGATATTAACAGAAGCAACAAAATTTCAGCATTTGGTAAACAATACTACAGAAGGTTAGTTAGTACTACAGGTAGTCGTGAAGTAAATCAATCTATGTATAATAAGAGCATAGTCAGTGTCATTATTCGTATATCAAATAATACACTAGGCTCAGTAATTGAGTGTTATAAGGGAATCAAGCGTGGTAAACCAAGAGAACATTTGCCGCATAAGTATTTTAATCATTTTAGGTATTTTAATGACAATCTAATTTCAAGTATTGAACCTACATAATTACTAAGTATTATTATGTTAGTCTGGGAACTAGTGTACTTTCTGTAGTTAAATATTGAAATGCCATTGTCTCTCCACTCTACCAGCAGTTGAGATCTTTGAGGCGGGCTAGGGTGGACATGTTTATATGTTTTTCTAGGCTCCTTTTGAAACTGTCAGGCCTTTCACAGGATCTTATCTCAAGGGGTAGTTGGTTCCAAAGTTTGCAATATTTAATGGTGAAGAAGTTAGCTCTAGTGGTGAGTTTATGGGTGTTAACCTTGAGAAGGTAGTTGTGGTTGCGTAGTCCATACGATTTAGGATTAGCCCAGGTTATGGACGAGTTACTGTTACAGTGCTTTCTTATAACTTTGAATAAGAGAAATAAATTGCACTTCACTCTCCTTAACCATAAGGGCTCTAAGTCCAGTCGAATACATCTGTCAAGGTATTCTATTTGCTGACCATAGCCTAATATGCGTTTCGTAAAAGATCTTTGGACCCTTTCAACTTTTTTTCTGTCTGCTGATTTAAAGCTACTGTATAAGTGGGCACAGTATTCAAGTTAGGGGCGAATGCATATCTTCTACACCCAAGAAGCAAGATTAGCTATATATAGGACATGTATCCGTCCCAAACTTGAATATTGTGCTCTCCTATTTAGTAACCTCAGGACTGTAGACAGAAAAAAAATCGAAAGTGTCCAGAGATTCCTCATGAAACGCATAATAGGGTTCGACCAACAAGTGGAATATGTTGACAGGTGTGTACGTCTGAAATTAGAGCCTCTGTGGTTAAGGAGAGTGAAGTGCAACCTATTTCTACTCTTCAAAGTCATTAGGAAACATTGCTTCAGTAACTCATCCATAACGTGGGAAAATATTAAATCATATCAGCTGCGAAACCACGACTACCTTGTCAAGGTGGCTACCCACAGAAAATCCATTAGGGCAAACAT